TGGTAATTTCTTGAGTTCTTCGTTGGGCCTTCAACCAATCGTGAAAGCAAACTAGTGTCTCAAGAGAGCTCGGGCTCAACCTCGTTCTATAATCGGTTAGGACGTTGCCGGCCGCACTGAATTCTTGTTCCACGGCAACAGTTGATATCGGCATTGCTAGTACTTGCTTAGCCATCTTTGATAAAATCGGGAATGTTCTTTCATTTTCCTTCCACCACTTAAAAACGTCAAAGTCATCACCAACTTCATAATCAACATTCAATGTTAAATACAAAGAAAGCTCGTTACCTGAGCTTTGTTCAGTAGCGGGAGTTGCTCTACTTTTTTTCAAAAGAGAACCAAAAGCGGATTTTAAAAGTGATTTTCCTTTAGATGAAGAAGATGTTCGTTGCATGGGAGGGGGTGCATTACCATATTGTGCATGAAATTCATTATACAATTGATGAAATAAATTACTAACCTCGTTGAATTCTTGTTTAGGGTCGATGGGATTATCATCGAACTCTTGAGTTGGAAAAAAAGAAGCATAATAGTAATCTATACAATTTGCCAAGTAAGGAAGTTTATAACGAGGATCAAGAACAAATGCAATACCATATATATGCGGAATATGTGAATAATATTTTAAAAACTTTTGTTTCATGAAATCACAAAAATAACTAACGTAAGTGGCGTCGGAAAATTCACAAAAAGCGCCGGCGAGATTAACAGCTTCAACAAAAAATTCGTTTGCGGTAGGTTTATAAACATGACTAAAAGTTAGAGTTGCGTTATTAAAATATGCCAAAACATTAACAATTTTTTCACAAGTGTCGATGTCAGCCGGGTTTATAATATAGTTACAAGTTTGTCTTAAAAAAGCTGGAAAATGATCTTTATATCTAACAAGTACTTGAATTAAATTATAAGTACTATTCCAACGAATAGACAAATCTTTAGGAAAAGCACAATAATTCACACGTCTATCCTTCAAATATTGCCGCCATTGCATTTTTAGTGGAGTGTTAGCCCAAATCAATTTAATTCCCCCCTTGACTACCTCCAAAGCATTTCCTAATGCCGCTAAGCCATCTTGTACACACAAATGTAGAATATGACATGCACAACGTTGATGAAAAAATCTACCCATCAATGTAGAAGCACCACACAATTCACGTAATCTAGGTATAGCAGCAGTATTATTACTAGCATTATCAAAACCTACAGCAAACACCTTATCAATCAAATTATACTCAATTAAAATACGTTCAATGAGAATATAAATATTATCAGCAGTGTGACGATCATTGAATTCACGAAAAGCAAGAACACGTTTATGCATATTCCAATCATCATCAATATAATGTGCAGTTAGACCCAAATAATATAAATGATGATAAGTATCCTCCCATATATCGCTACAAATACTAACACGTCCATCAAAGTTTGCGAAAAATATTTGTAATTTTTCTTTTTCCAAGTTATATTGCCTTATAACTTCTTTTTTAATCGTTTTGCGACTATAATTTCTAAATTGAGGATTTAAAGTACCTTGAGCATAATCTCTTAAAGCAAGACTTTCGGAAAAAATAAAGGGTAAATTTTCTTCAACAATTAAATGAGACATACCAGTCAAATGTTTGTTATCATCATAGGAAAAATTACCTAAGGGTTGAGAATTTGCAAACCTTGATATTTGTGTTTGCTTCCCCTTTCCTTTGTCTATTTTCGCATACTCCACAAAGTGTGCGGACTTAAGATGTCTTTTGAGACTCCCGTATCCGCCAGAAATTCCCAAGCTAAACTCTTTCTTGCAATGATTGCAACTTGCGTACCATTTTTCGGTTTTTTCGTCTTTCCTTTTTGTATAATTGTTTTCAATAATAGGAGATTTAGATTTCTTATCAATTTGGGTTGTAGTCGTTGAAGGGCCCTCGTCCTCTTGCTCATCATCCGGAGTCCCGTCGCCCCCCGAGTCCTCCTCCCCATCGTCATCCTCGAGCTCCTCTTCATCGATGGTTGTCGGGAATTGTTGTTCTTGTGCAAAACGTGGATCATTTTGGGACAATAGGTGTTGTAGTTCCTCGTCGGACATCATCATACCATCTCGCCGTTGGTAATCCGTTTCAAAATCATCTCGACTTTGAAAAGAAGACTCGGCCCGCGCTTTACCTTTGCCTTTGCGTGAAGTAGATCGAGTCGATGCAATCTCCCTCTTGCGGTTGCGTTGGAGATTACCCACATCTACAGAATGTCTACCACGCTCCATCTTTAAAATTGAACAAATATTAGCAATTAACTAATATGAGAAATGTAAAAATTAACTAGTTTTGTTATTTTAATGAGATATGTAGCAATTAACTAATATGAGAAATGTAAAAATGTAGCAATTAACTAATATGAGAAATGTAAAATTGTAGCAATTAACTAATTAACTAATATGAGAAATGTAAAAATTAACTAGTTTTTTTTTTACTTTAATGAGATATGTAGCAATTAACTAATATGAGAAATGTAAAATTGTAGCAATTAACTAATTAACTAATATGAGAAATGTAAAAATGTAGCAATTAACTAATTAACTAATATGAGAAATGTACAAATGTAGCAATTAACTAATATGAGAAATGTAAAAATGTAGCAATTAACTAATTAACTAATATGAGAAATGTAAAAATGTAGCAATTAACTAATATGAGAAATGTAAAAATGTAGCAATTAACTAATTAACTAATATGAGAAATGTAAAATTGTAGCAATTAACTAATTAACTAATATGAGAAATGTAAAAATTAACTAGTTTTTTTACTTTAATGAGATATGTAGCAATTAACTAATATGAGAAATGTAAAAATGTAGCAATTAACTAATTAACTAATATGAGAAATGTAACAATTAAGTAGTTTAACTAATATTAATATGACAAATGAAACAATTAACTTTAACTACTTTAACTAATATTAATATGACAAATGAAACAATTAAGTAATTAAATAGATAAACGAGAAGTGTATATATAAATTAAGTAATTTATATATATATAGTATATATAAATATATAATGTGTAAATATATTATAAGTAATATATAATATAATGTATAACTATATATAGTATATATAAATATATAATGTGTAAATATATTATAAGTAATATATAATATAATGTATAACTATATATAGTATATATAAATATATAATGTGTAAATATATTATAAGTAATATATAATATAATGTATAACAATATATAGTATATAATATAATGCGTAAAGAATTATAATATGAATGTGTATAAGTATATATTTATAAGTAGATAATTAATATTATAATATATAAGTAGATATAATAATTATATAAATTATATATATGTAGAAAGAATTTGGAGAAGATGAAGAATGAAGATGATTGAATATGAGAGATTGAGAGAATAGAGAATTTAGAGAGTAGGAAGAGTTGTAGAAGAAGGTGTAAAAAATGTATAGAAAATAGGAGTATAAATAGGTTTTTTTTTGTATACCCCACCCCCACCCCACCCCACCCCCCTAACCCCCCAGACCCCCCCTCCTATGCTCCCAACGGCTATAGAGCCGTTTGGGAGGTCTCCCAACGGCTAGTAGAGCCTTCAAATTTTTAATATCAGCCCGAGCCCGAACCGCTACATGACCGGGCCGGGTGGCCCGAACCGTGACCTAACCGACAAACCGGGCCGGTCCGGGCCCGCACAGTAGCGGGCCGGTCCGGTTCCGGGCCGGTTGGCCCGGCCCGAGTCCACTCCTACTCAAGCCTGGAATGGCTGACGGAAAACCAAATCATGTCAATTGGATGAAAACATTGAACGAAAACTCATCCAATTGATCGAAAGACATTGGTGCGACTCTAGGGTTTCTCTCATGTATGGTTGGACTCGGGTCGGGCCACCCGGCCCGCTACTGTGCGGGACCGGGACCGGCCCGGTTCTCGGGTCCGGGTCGGGCCTAGGCCCGGGAGGTAGGGCGGGTCCGGGCTCGGGTCTCAATTTTGGTGAACCGGCCCGGCCGGGTCGGGCTCGGGCCCGAGCCAAATTGATTTTTTTTTTATTTTTTTTTCATTTTTGGGGTTCCACCCGGGTTGGGCTTGATGGGTAGGATGGGTTTGGGGGGGTTTGGGAGGGTGGGGGTGAGGGGGGGGGGGGGTAGGAAAGCAAAAAAAAAAAAAATCCAAACCGGAGGCCCGGCCCGGCCCGGACCCGGACCGGACCCGGTGGCTACCCAGGCCGGTCCCGGGTCCACTATTCTTGAACCGCCGGCCCGCCCGGGCCTAGGCCCGACCCGGACCCGGCCCGGACCCAAGTCCATCCCTACTCTCATGTAGCGAACATAATTCCTACTCCACTCAAATTAACAGTGATAATTTGTTGAAACAATTTAAAATGAATTTTGACCAAATCCAATAGAATATGTGGAGTAAATAACATATACGGAGTACTTCAGTAAATGGTGGATCCAAAGTATTCTCACGGGGGACACTGCCGTATGGACGGAAATGTGTCTGTGTTGAGTGAGGTGTATTATTCAGATTTTTACTATTGAAAAGCGCAAGCACCATTTAAATATTTAAAGTGATGTGATCAAGAGACACTAATTCAAAAGGTGTTTGTTAAGAAAGGTGAGAACCTTTCTTTAAAGTTTTATTCGTAACAACAATGCAAGTATGTATTAGCTTCGAGTGCCCCTTGAAATCCAAGTAATATCAACCGTTGGCTTATAACAACATTCAAAATTGCTCAAGGTTTCCAGCGTCAGAAATACCCTACACAAACCATGTTTTGGAGAAACTCCGGAGAACACTACTCATTCATTTCAAAATGATTTTCTACAAATAATATATGAAAATGCTCAGCTCCCTGAGTACAATAGGTATGAACTTTGTTCGATTACAAATGAGATGGAGTCCTTTATAATACTCCGTATTATTTAGCTACAAAATGTCAAATATTAATTTGTAAAACCATTTTTCAACACACTTCATCAAATCAAAATGGAAGAGGAAACAATAGCATAAAAATTCCATCTTGCTATCAGCAAGTTCCCAAATGGTTTTTCAGATCTAAAAATGCAACCAAGATCAAAAGGCTAGAAGTATAGAGCTAAGCAGGCAGTAAAATATGGTAAAAACAAAACGTGGTTGCTTACTATTATTATATCTTCAAGAATCAAAAGCTCCAATCAAACCATTATAGATTTATAGTGAGACGACAAAACTTGAAGATAAATCTAAAAGCTCCTCGTGAGGCCAAGAAATACAGCAGCAGAAGCAACCTGCACTTGCAGATCAGCGATATCAACATCGTGCCCGCCTTCAACCAGTCCCCATCTGTCAATCTGTGCATCCAAATCAGTTCCTTCAGTTTATTAACTAAATGAGGCGGAAATAGAAATTGCAGAAACATTCATTTGGTTCTCCATAAAATTGACATGCAATATTTCCCCTAAAAATGGTTGCTAGATATTCCAGTGTTTGAGGGAAGGAAATATTTTTGTTGGTTGTTTTATTTCTTTTAAGACACAAAATGAACCAGATTTTTCTCTTTTTGTTACATGTGTGTGTACGTGTGCGTGTGTGTAACATACAACTTAATTTCCATGGAAAATGTTTTTGCAATCAACTTATACACAGATGGAATTCAATACTCCCATCAACTCCAAACTGATCATCCGGAAACAATCTCTCTATGCTTTAGTACAGGGGTAAGACTGCGTACATCTGACCCCCTACCCCACTGAAGGTGTGGGAGCCATTGCGGCACTGGGGTAATGATGATGATGATCAATGTTAAAAAGACAAATAAGGAAGGGTGGAGGCATCATTTTTTAAAGATCATTAATACTCCCTCCGGTCCTTAATTAACTTTACACTTTCCTTTTTGGGTCGTCCCATATTAAACTTTACACTTCCTTATTTGCCTTATTTGGCAAACAAATCTACACCAAACAGTGCAAAACAGCGCCAAACAGTGTCAAACAGTGTCAAACAGTGTCAAACAGTGTATTCTACAGTAAAGTCAAATTTATTTCCTTAATATGTGTGAAGTCAAAGTGTAAACTTCATTAAGGACCGGAGGGAGTATACAATCTTCTAAAATGTCAATCATTTTGAGATCCAAGAGGGAGGGGGTCCAAAGATATAGAGATGATAGATGCAAATATTATAGACCTGCAAATCTTCCTCAAGCCTTATCAGTTCAATGGCCTCCTTGATTCCCAATCTACTATGAAACATAGCAATGGCAATGACAAGAGAGTGTGCAGATGCAGCAATTGCATCAATGGCGGCCAATTCACAATCATTCATTTTTCTTAGAGAGTCTGCAATGGCATTAACAAGACCATCCCTCTGCTTTCCACCAAAAATACATGAATATATGACTGGTTTGAAGCCGAACACCGCCTCCAACCACCTAAGAAGAGGGTCAAATTTCTCTACTTGATGCTCTGTACATTTTTATCACAAGTAGGATAATTGTTATCATATCTATACTACTTTTGTATGAGTTTGATGTTTTGAACTTGCATCTTCATCATATTTAAACACAACTACATCAGAATTATACAAAGGGGCAGTGTTGTCATAAGGTATGTCTTCTTCTTCTTCTTCTTCTTCATCTTCCCATGTTCCTTCTTCTTTTTTCATCTTGTAGTTTTCATTTATTTTGTCATCTTCCTGTTGATCGTTTCGTATTATTCTCAGTCTATCTTCTTTCTTTACTTGTATCACTTCATTGATATTAATTTTCTTCTTCCAGTCTACACTTCCAGTCATCTATGCATACTTTATAGCTCTCTTTTCTTCTTCTAATATATTCTATACAACTCTATATCTTATTATCATTTCATATTTTAATTATATAAAAACTTCATATAATCTAGCTCAATTAATAGTTTCATACACTATATAATTTATGCCTTCTGCACTTATATGTAGTTATGTGCTCCTATCATTTCGTATTCACATTGTTGTTCATAGGATATGAAATGGTGGAAGTTCAAGTGCCGCCTCTGGTCCTAAAAATGCAAAATTACCAAAAACAGACCCCATTTGGTGTTTTGTTTTTGTGAAACATGATTTCATTTTGGTGAATTATGACTGTTTTTAGATACATGACTTTTTAATGCAATTAGTTTGGTATGATGTTGATTATGTCATATTTGGTCATTCACACATTCTAGAATAGCATATAGAATATTTTCTAAATAATGCCCTTCACATGAGTCAGGGGAGTGCTTGTTTGCGTCTTGCACATCTATGAATACTCTAGCGCCTTGAGTGCGCCTCACGACGTTGACTACGTTGCGAAGGGGTAATGGACATAATATCATTAAGATAAGAAATGGACCTAATAATAATAGGAAACCAGTAACCGTGATACCACTAACACAAGGATCTATTTATTAACTACTTTCTATATAATTTTACTATTTACAACACTGTCTTTCTCTCTTTACATAATATTTCCCCATGTTTGGTTCTATGTCCAGTAGGAGGCTATCAATCATAATAGTTCAATAAAAACATCGTGTATAAACAAGTGCAGGGTTTGAAACATGAGAACATTAAAAATAATCATAATAATATCATAAATTACGTAAAATATTACACTTAGGAATGAGTTTGGAGACAAACATCAACTGACAAATAGAGAAGCATACAACATAACAAAAATCAACAGAAAATTTCCAAAATTAACGTACCATGAATAGAAGCTGTGAAATCATCATCCCCAGGTGCACGACAGAACACTAAATCTTGATTAAATTTTTTCATCAGGTTTTCAATAATCGTGGATCTGGTTAGTGGGACTCTTTCGAATGCAGTACAAGCAAGTCTCATCAGTGGCATTGTAAAAGGTCTGATTCCATCTGCTTCCTACCATAACAGGCTCAGAAAACATATTGGGGTACTTAAGCAAAGAAAAACTGTCTTAATACACTGCATCAATTATTTGAATAGCAAACTAACAATATGATAAAAAGACGTTTTAGCAAAAGCTATCATATTTAAATTGGTCTGGACATTTTCTCTTAGAAAGAGCTACATTAGACATAATAAAAATTAGCTTCTTTTATTCAAATGAGACTCTTTTTGGGGATTAAACAAAAATTGGTTATATGCTCAATTAACGATGGTAGCAGTAGTGGAGTGCGACTACTTTCTATACTTTAATACGAAGTATAATGATAAAACTTTAAGAAAAAAATACCTGGTATTCCCATTCAGCAGCAATAGCTTTGGCCAGAGCAAGAGTGGGGCACTTGAGAGGGCGTTTGGCGGGGGTTTTGAGGGTACGATAGTCAAGCAAAACCGTCCAACCAATACCATCATCGGCCTCGCGTGTGATCACCTTCTTGTAAAACCTCTTGCCCACAATTGATCCCGTCATGAACGACATAGGCATCGTCACTGAAGTTGAGCCCGATTGCAAATAAGAATTCTTTCGCCCACTTATATAGATATTATTGTCTTCTCCGCTAGACGTGTTTTGAACATTTCCTGTGAACTCGAAAGACGATGATGGCCCTTCAGAGTCGAGTTGGTTAGCAGTGGCAAGGCCACATATGCCGGAGGTGGTTAGGGTTCCGATGAAGAAACTGTTTAGTGGTCTTAGGGGCCTTCTTAAAATCCCAGTTCCGAGCATCGTTTCACAGATTCCGTGAATCGGGAGGCCGATAGTGAGATCTGAGATCAGGGGATCACGTAATACCAATGGCCTGTTTGGGTAGGGTGAACTTAAGTAAACCCAGTGTAACAAAGTAAACCTAGGTTTTAATAAAAACTAAGTGAACCTAGGTGCATATGTAAAATGTCGTTTGGAAACAAATTAAGTGAACCTGGGTTAATGTAATAAAATGTTGTTTGAATGAAGGGGCTCTAACTCATTAATTACATGTATACCCTTTACATGATTTGTCAGCAGTGGACTTAACTACATCTTTTGTGCAAAGCAGATTTTATTGACAGCCACATTAACGTTTCAGAACAAGTTATGAAGTTCCAAAATAACACAAATCATTATTTCATTATTGTGGAATGCTGTAAAGGTCTTATAACTGAGAATGCACCAAAAATTAATCAAGTGTATACGGTATACCATTTATCTTCCAGTGACTTAGTCAACCAAATCCACGTAGCAGAACAAACTAGATTAAGATTATTTTTCAAGGGCATAAGTCACATGAAACACATCTGGATGCGCTTTTGTCAAATGAAGTTTTAAGATGTGCTTTCGACGAAATCAGTTCTAGTGCTTGTAGTTCCACTAAAAAGCAGAATAGTGTTTAGCAATACTCATCTACAAAAGCACTTTTAGAAGAACCACCTATCATGGGCTGCTATGCAAGCATTACTGAAGTATTAAGTTTTTTTTAAAAAGCGCTTCTAAAATTTTAACCAAGTATCATTCTAACATGAAAAAAAAACTTTTGAGAGCACATGCAGGCTCAACAGGTTCCATTAAGTCAAGGCAGAAGGATGCTATTGATATGCAAAATAGTATTGCTACTAGCGACAGAAATAAAAATACTAGCTGTGAGGATGATGATTATGTGTCTGTAGTTCTTCTAGGGTCTAGCATTGCTGCCAAACAACCAGTTCGCCTATTGTACTTCCAAAAGTGGAAAAACTACCTCAAACATCATAATCTAGTATTCTAGGCCTTTTACTGACTCTCTACAAAGGAATCCCTCTAGAGAATGTTCATTTGTGCTTTCTTCAATGAATACAAATATCATGATGCATCTGGGTGTACTATATAGGCACTAGAAGCTATAATACCAGACTATGACCCCTGTGATGTTTTTACACACATAATGCGCATATTGATTTGGTTAAAAACATTCCTTGTACAGTTTCCCTAAGCATGTGCAAACCACAACAGATTTCATCTTGCAAGTCCTTCTGCACAAAAAACCCACTAAGCCCGGTGGAAAAAAAGATAGATAATGGGCAATTTTACAAAGAGTTACTCAAGCATATTAACAAACAGTTTGTATGCATCATATATGCATTTGTATATATATGTAAGGTACACAGATATATCATCCCAGTCAAGTACATCAACAATATCACATCAAATCCATATGTAATCCATATGTGAATCAACAATATTATAGCAAGTAAATCAACAATATTATAGTGCAAGCCCATATGCAATTCATGTCTATCTGACTCGACTAAATCAACAATATTACAGAGAGAAAAGAGGAGGAGGGAAGAATAATAGAGAAGAGGGATAGGAGAGAAAGAGACAAACCTGATGCTGCAAGGACTCGCGATTGATTGAGAAGCTGGGCGGCAGAATACAGCTTGAGGAAGGTGGTGGGAGATTGATGAGAATATGGCGGCAACGTGCTGATAGAGGGAGCCAAGGTGTAAATCAGGATCAAGGTGGAGAGGGGAAGCCTGGAGGGTTATAATAATCGGAATGAAAGGAGAAATTGTTTCAGACGCAAACTTCACCCCAGATCCTGCCGGTTCTTTATTAATTAAACCTCTATGTTAACCTGGAGACCATAAATGTCCATTGAGCTTATGCCAAGGTTGTGCTGGTAAGGCTGAGATTGGTGGCAGCCGGAAAGTTTTAATTAAATTCGGTCGCCCAGATTCAAAACGGCACTTTTAAAAATCTGGAACCGATTCTGATTCTGCTTCTTTTTTAAAGTAGAAGCAGAATCAGAATCAGAAGTTGGTCCCCCCAGCTTCTAAAAAATCTGATTCTAGGAGTAAATTAGAACACCAGAATCACTTCTGCACTTTCACCCAAACACTTCAGCTTCTGCTTCTACTTCCTGGAGGAGCAGAAACAGTTTTAAAAATCAGATCCAAACATCCCCTATACCGGGGCTTATTGCATCACGAGTCACGAATTCAAAAATTGGGACGGAGCTAGTAAATAGATAGTATTTAACAAGCTAAAAATGAAAGAAAAATAAATATGAAGAAGACAAGCTTGATTGCATCTATGCTTGTACCACATGCAATAATGAGTATAACTTGTAACGATTAATGTTCTTACTCATTAAGTTGTGTAATATAACAACTGATCATAAAGAGATCGAGATTGTTGAACATTCTCAAAATTTTGAGTTTTATTTTTAATAAATACTACGTATAAATTTGGATTCTTATGCTTCATTTATTCTTGTTCAAAACTTTATTTCAAGGTTCCGACAACTATGGCAGGTTTCCTCTGGTTGGAGCTCCACCTACGTCTTTGACAAGAGGGTTGGAGACCTTTACATGTAAAAGAAGACCAATAAGAGACGCTTCCTCCAGGCAAAGTAAGTTATCGAAGATGTTCGTTAATTTACTAGAAATAGATCAATCGGTTGTTCTGATTTGGATCGATTGGTCCTTGTATACTTAAATCATCTTCGTTCTCCTTTTCCTGATCTTATCCATATGATTATTATGCTCAACAAAAATTTATTCAGATACAGATACATATACTGTGATTGTTCTTTAGCTGCTCCTACTCATAGCCATCACGGAAAAATATTTTTTGAATTGTTGATTAATTAATCTGCTCCTACTCCTGCAGATCCATTTATGGTCTGATATGGCTTTTACGTTTCTAAAAATTGTTGGGAATATGGCATTGTATCCATTTTTCTTCATGTTTGAAGTCTTTGGTGTTTGATTGTTCAAAAAAAAAAAACAAATCTCAGCTTGGAGATTCAAGGAAAAAAGTATAGGGTAACGAACCTTTCATCTCAATTTCATATGAAGAAACTCATAAGCTATTTACATAATTTGAATTGCCTATCATATGTAATTTCTCTCTAGCACAGCCTTGTATATAAGAATTTAAGATTGCCTTGAATCCGTTTTTGTTCCTCTTTTACAAGGAAATGTTTAAACTGTTCTAGTCAGTTACTTGATGCTATTAAAACTTCTAAGTTTAGACCATAGAAACATAAATCGCTGAAATAGCCGCGAACTGCGTTCCGAACGCCCTGTACCCAAACGCGGTATGAAAGCGTTCCAAACGCTGTTCGGATCACGATTTAAAACGTTGTTGCAGGAGTTTCCGATCGCTTACAAAATCGTTCCCCATCGCTAATCAGGTCGTTCCCCATAGAAATGGTTATTGAAATGGTTAATGCTATAAAAAAGGCACCGGAAGGATACAAGCCCCCTTCTAGTGAAAAGGCAAGAACGGTATTGCTCGATGAATGTGTTAGGGATGTTGAGAAAGACCTAACCCAAGTGAAAGACATGTGGTACACACAAGGAGTGTCAATTGTCTCGGATGGGTGGTCTAACGTGAAGCATAGGCCACTTATCAATGTTTTAGCGGTGAACTCCCGTGGTGCTATGTTCATGTATGCGGAAGATTTTTCCGGAGTTGAGAAATCTGGAGTTGAGATTTCTAAGTTTCTTCTTGGAGCTATTGACACGGTTAGACCAAGTAATGTGCTGCAAGTAGTCATGGATAATGCGGCTAATTGTAAAGCGGCCGGGAGAGAGATCGAGAATGTACATAAACATATTTTTTGGTCTCCTTGTTGCGTGCATACTTTGAATTTAATTTTCAAAGACATGGCAAAAGAACTCCAATGGTTACAAAATACGTATAGAAGAGGCAAAACAATTGTTAAGTATTTTATTAACCACACTCATGATTTAGCCATCTTTCGTGAAAACTCAAGGTTGGAGTTGTTAAAGGTTGCTAAAACCCGGTTTGCATCTCATTACATTTTGTTAAAAAGGGTGATGGATTGTAAGGAGGCTCTTGCCTCAACTATTTTTTGCAATTCTTGGAAGGAATGGGTGAGAAGTGGAGATGAAAATGCAAGAATTAATGGGACTAATGTTGCTGAAACTATTAAGAGTGATGATTTTTGGGATGATGTTAGGAATGTTTTGACAATTACTAAGCCGATTTTTCTACTTATAAAATTTTGTTATGGTGATGGCCCAAAAATGGGTGAAATATATGAAAGGATGGATAATATGTTGGAGGAAATAAAGGACATCATGGTGGATAATGTATATTCTTGCTATTACCCGGATATTGAGAAAATAATTGTAGCTAGATGGGAGAAGATGACAATCCCACTTCACTGTTTGGGGTTTGCATTAAACCCAAGGTTTTACGATAAATTCTATCTTGAAAAATTGGCTCCGGGTGGTATTGCAAGAAAGGCACCGAATCAAGATAAAGAGGTTGTGCTTGGTGTAATGGAAGCTTTCAAGAGAATTGCAGAAAGTACATAAGAGGAAAGGCTATTACGAGAGCAATTTGCTACATTCCATATGAAGAAGGGGATATATTCAATGGTGGCAACACGAGCGGATTCCGTGACAATGGATGCAATTGATTGGTGGTCAACCTATGGAGCTGAAACACCGGAATTAGCCGAAGTAGCAAAGAAGGTGCTTTCACAACCGATTAGTAGCTCTTCGGCCGAAAGAAATTGGAGTACATATTCCTACATTCATAGTGTGAAGAGAAACCGGTTGAATTGCAAAAGAGTCGACAAATTGGTTTTCATTCACTCCAACATTCGACTCCAGTCACGGTTTTCAGAATCATATAAAGCCGGTCCACACAAATATTGGGACATCAATCCCGAGAGCACATACATAGAAGGCTCAAGTTCAAGACTCGAAGAAATGGCTTGGGAGAATCTAGAGGATGAAGACGTGGAGAAGGGGAAAGGAAAGAGACCTCGAGTTGATTAGTCATGTACTTTTCTTGTTTGAACTTTAAATCAATGATTGTAGTACTGTTTTTCTGTTTTGCTTGAAATGTTTCTTGAATATTAATGTTTTTGCTTTTGATTAATGTTATGAATTTATGTTATGAAATCCGTTTTTGTTCAATGCTGAAATTTGTATTCTATAATTCAGTTTTGTATTTTTATTATAGTACCAAAAAATTAGGTACAACGTACTGAACATATGGTACATCGTACCAAACACGTACCGAAATGAACCTACCCCCCTCCGAATCGGATACGCTAGATCTAGCGAACCGCGTTCCCGTTCATCGTTCCCGTATCGAACCATACCACGAACCATGTGACTATGGTTTAGACTTCTGATATAGAGTCCATTGATAACCAAGAAAGGTGTGTTGTTCCCTTGTTCTACTTCTACCGGTAATGCTAACAGTTGAGCTACACATTTGTCATTTACAAACTATAGACAACAGATTTGGGGTGTCTGACATTAAAAGGATGGTAGGGTAGCTCAAGAAATGATGATAATTGCAAATTTAAAGTATCACAAATTGAACAATAATAATTCAATTTCTTAGGATGTGCATTGCCTCTTCAATGCACCTGTTATTAACTCTATGCTAGATAATATTCTGGATTAGTTAAGAAATGTATGATTTGCTATTTATTTAGGGTAGTTTTGCTCCCGGCACTCATGTGAAGAGGGTTATGAATGATATAAATGTTGTTGTGAGGCTTAGGATTGCTTGGACTTGCTGCAAACGAAAAGGCAAAACCTGAGAAGATACTTGAGATCAAGAAAGCAGGGAAGCAGAGTCCAAGTACTTGTCTAGACTTGGCAGTACACGTCAATGTCAGGCCATCTTTGATGGACTAAGGGACAACGTACTTGCCTTCTCGAAGAGTGTTGCAGGGACAACGGCAAAAGACATCATGGACATGGGTCTGGTGACTCGGTATTTTGATACAATGAAGGAGATCGGTGCTAGCTCAAAGTCCTCCCCCTTCTTCATCCTGCATGCTCGTGGTGCTATGAAAGACATTGCGTCACAGATTCGTGTGGTCTTCTTCATTCCAGTAGCACTGGACCTTGAGGTTTGATGAGGAGGACTTCTTGTCCAAAAGTTCTAGTACCGTAATAATTATTACTATTATTATTATCTATTAGGCGTTAATTACAATTTATGGTTATCAATTAGTTTGGCATTAAACCAGCTATCATCTTATTTGGATTCTGAACATTAAATTTGTTTCCATAGTACACTATTTCATCCAATATTCCAAAAAAGAAGAAGAAGAAAAGTCAAATGATAAAACAGATAAATGTAATAAGTTTAAACAATAGATTGAATTATATATTTGTTGCAAAACTATTATACGTTTATGTTATTGCTTTTTGTTCTGTTGCATCGTGTTGTTTTTTGTTTTGTTGCATTAGGTTGCATTGTGTTGCTTTTTGGTATACGTAGTATTATGTTGCATTGTGTATTTATTGTTGATTTTTGTTGTTTATTTAGATCTTTTATTTATCTCTTCTGCATTTTTGGATTAAAAACTCATATATTCATATATATACAAATGCCTAAATGTCTAACATGATAAATTTAGATTTATGAATATAAACAAGAATTAGAAACATAAAGAAACAATAAAAAACAAAAAATTCTTAACTATCAACAAAAAGAAACTCCATAAACAATAGGCAACAAAAACTAATGGTCATAATAATTACAAAAACTTAAGTGCTTAAATTGCGTGTTTGTATCCTTTGAAAATATCCATTTTTTATCTTTAAAATTTTTAATATATTTTCAAGTTTATTGTTTTATTTTTTATATTTTTACTCTCTGAGTTTATTTTAACTTTGAAGTATTTTAGGTTACATCAATTTTCTGTTTTTTTTAATAATTTTATGTAATATATTT